GACAGGAATTTTAGTTTCCTTGTCACAGTTTCGCTGATGACTCACTTGAAAACTGGGTATAGGGCTTCTCCTTGTGCTACTTCAGTCCTTGGATGTGTTCAAAAAGGGAGTGTAATATTTGATGCTAAAAATAATTAACTAGGGTGACTATTTAGAGTTCTAAGAGGATATTTAATTATGTAAATTTCCAGTACCTTAACAATGACACCTGATTATAAGTCTTAATCTTTAACTATCTGTGCAAAGCCCTGGCCTGGTAACTCTTGGTTAGAACAGTGGTCAGCAAACTCATTAGTCAACAGAGCCAACTATCAACAGTACAACAACTGAAATTTCTTTTGAGAGCCAATTTTTTAAACTTAAACTTCTTCTAACGCCACTTCTTCAAAATAGACTCGCCCAGGCCGTGGTATATTGTGGAAGAGCCACACTCAAGGGGCCAAAAAGTCGCATGTGGCTTGTGAGCCGCAGTTTGCCAACCACAGGGTTAGAACATTGTCCCAGTATTCCAAGACTGCGCGTGTTCGCTCCCCAGCTAGAGCATATACTAGTACAAGAAGCAACCAATGAATGTATAAGTAAGTGGAACAACAAATTGATGTTTCTCTCTCTCCAATCAGTAAACAAAATAATAATTAAAATAAAACCATGCTTTGGCTAAATTCTAACAAGTTACATAAATAAATGTTTTCTCTTTAACTTTATTTTCCAACTCTATTCTCCACATCCTTGCTATTCTTGTTTTATGAATTTCTTTTTCCTGATAATATCTTTTCATGTTGTTTCAGGTCAATAAATCTACTTTTGCATTTGCTGATACTTTAGATTCTAATCAAATCCTTTCTAGCCCCGGCCGGGTAGCTCAGTCAGGTAAAGCATCATCCTGATACACAATGTGGTATATTCGATACCCAGTTAGGGCACATACAAGAATCAGCCAGTGAAAGCATATGTAAGTAAAACCAGAAATCTATGTTTCTCTCCTTTCCTCCCACTCTCCCACTTTCTTGCTCTCTTTAAAATCAATAAATAAAATTAAAAAAACCTCTATGTTTCATCTTATTTGGATTAGGATTCATTCCCTTAAAATTTACTGTTAGCATACAAGTCTGTCATTTTTCTTATATGGACAAGATCCATTTACATAGTAAACGCATAATTTATGTATAACATGACTAGAAATGTATCTTAACATTCTCATAATTTCTTATCTCTCTCATTTGTGTATTAATTGCTCTCAGTAATGTATATATCACTTAGTGTATAAGCTAGGAGAGGAGAAATTTAACCATTCAACTTAGAACCAGAATTTTGCAGCTATGACTGGCCTAGTTCAAGCTCCTCCTTTTAAAGATAATAAGTAGGTAAGTCACTTACTTGTTTAAGGCCACACCACACGTAGTGATGGAGTAAGGACTAGAACTCACGAATCCTGGGTCTCCAGTCACTGTTGCTACTACTCCAGGCCTAATTAATACACGGCATGCTTTAAATGATGGATTTGATTAAGGTCATCCATGCTGGGTTAGTCCCTAGGTAAACGTATCTGTTTGATGCAGACACTGCACTTTTAATCCAGGCCAGCCAGCTCTCTGACCTTGTGAACCAGAAGTTCAGGGGGGGAACTGGCACCAATCCATCCTCCCACTGAGGATGCATATGCTACACAGATGCTGGATAGTCAGCGTTGTTTCTGAGGACAACACATCCCTTCTCAGTGGCAGCACTGCATTCTGCATTCATCTGACAAACATTTAATTTACATCTGCTATGACACAGGTATTGGATTTTTTGTATCTTAGCCTCCCTGTCCTCAGGGACATTACAATCCAAGATGAAAGCAAATGTGAAACAAATAACTGTATAATGAGTTGAATCCTATAACGTAAGTATACATATCTTAAACATCCACTTAAAATTTTTCTTCTTTGTTATCACACTTTCTTGCAAAATTAGCCATTTTAATGTATAACCAACCAACGCAGCAGATAAGTATATCACGGAAAGGTGGTTGGTTATTCATAATTGCCCAGGTTTATTTGGCCCATTACTACCTACCAACTGTTTCTCCTGCCAGGTGTACTGTTGTAATTTGGTGAAGTTGTTTTGGAGGTGGGGGAGCTGACGTTTTGGAGTAGGGAAGGTAAAAATGAAGTAAATATTTTTAATGTCTTAAGTTTGTATTTTTATTATGATAAAAGCAACCCATTCTTTGGGTCAAACATTCAAATTATACTTGAAGGTTAAAGTGCAAAGGAAACATTCTTTCTATTCTGGATATGCACACTTAACAGTTTTCTGTCCCCACTCCCCCCAGGAATTTTCTATGCATACAGAAATATATATATATATTTCCCACAAATGGGTTAATGATAAATGGTTTTTCACTTACTCTAGATATATTTATACATCAATATATATTGATCTATCTCATTAAAAAATGTTAACCTATCCCTTCTCAGCCTTTGGCTATGATCAAGTGTAGGAAATATTTACCTTTGTCCTGACTGGTTTGGCTCCGTGGATAGAGCATCGGCCTACACACTGAAGGGTCCCAGGTTCGATTTCAGTCAAGGGCATGTATCTTGGTTGCAAGCACCTCCCCAGTGTAAAAAATCAAATATATAGCCCTAGCTGGTTTGGCTCAGTGGATAGAGTGAGGGCCTGTGGACTGAAGGGTCCCGGGTTCAATTTCAGCCAAGGGCACATGCCTGGGTTTCAGGCTTGGTCCCCAGGAGTTGGCATTCAGGAGGCGGCCAGTGATTCTCTCTCATCATTGATGTTTCTCGCTCTCTTTTCCTCTCTAAAATCAATAAAATATATTTTTTAAAAATCAAATATATAAAAAAAGTTTACTTTTGTATGAATATACCATAATTTATTTAAGCAGAAGTTGACCTTTGAAAAAGTCGTAAATACTAAATACTGGGGTGATCAGAGAAAATATAAGTATAAACAGCCACTAATAAGAGTAAATAAAATAGCCACAGAGTTTATTAAATTGATGACCATTCTTTATCTTTGGCCACTCTTACAACCCACCAGTAATTTGATTGCCTTCCTCTGCATTCAGAGCTGCTAACTTTCTCCCTACCCTGAGGAAGTGGTGAAAGTGAAACTTGGTTCTGTCTGGGGTCACACTGACTGCTATCTGCAATATCTGGATAGGGTCACAGGTAAACAACATCCCTGCATTTTCACCCACATGGACTTCCTGACGAATTCCCCACCCTCCTGTGCTCCCCACTTTGGCTTGACTTCCTGGACTAAAAAAAAAATTAAAAAAAACCCCGGCTGCAATCTACCAGGACCCTATCATGTGCTCAGTGCAGAGCAGAAGAAATCTAAGTGTTTTGCCTCACAATATGAGGAAGGCAAGGGGGCTACTTTTTAAGATAAAAATCTGTGAACAAAACACAAACTGCCCAAAACTTCCTTCAAAACCAAACTGCATTGTCACACGCTCACAAAACTCTTATTACACAGCCAGATGACTCAAGATTACTCCATTTCTATTCATAAGGAGCTTGCTGGCCCCAAATCAACACACGCAGGCCCTCCCTCCCCCGTCTTCCTCTGCGCTCCCGGGGGAGACTAACATTTGGAGCACTCCTTTGAGTGGAATGAAGATGATGTGTGTGTGCTGCCCGAACTGTTTGTTCTGGGATTTTATAAAGCACTAAAGCACCTCCGGGGGGGACCCCCCTCTTAAAGTTATTTATTTATTTTCCTAGGTCAGAGAAGAGGAGGTCGGAATCTCTCGGGCTTCTCAGTCTCGGAATTCGGACATATATATTCTGAATATGAAAAACAGACCCGGGACATCTGTATGCATTTACTGCAAACTGGAGATTCACATCAGAAATCACACCCACGTTCCTTCGGTGGCTCAGGGTGTCACGGGGACGAAGGAAACCCTGCTTTGCAGGGGTTCCAGCTGAAGGTCCTGCTTTTGCTCTGGACGCTTAAACCAGCACACCCTTCCCTTTGCATCTTTCACTTCACAGCTTCCTGGGCAAAATAGGAACAGAAGTCACCGTGAAGCCCCAGCGTGTCCTCCAGGCCTTTCCGCTACCCCGACCTGCAGACAGCGGGGTCGGCCCCACCCCCTAACCCCCTCAACCCCCCAACCCCCCAACCCCGCGCTCTTTCCACCCGGGTTCGTGGCAGGGAGAAAACCACGCAGATAAACCATCTCGGCTCCATCCCCTTCCTTTCGGGGGCCTCTGCACGGCCTGAGACAGGGGTCCCCCCGGCGTAGCCCGCTCCCAGCCCTGCGGTTCTCGGCCAGCCCTGCGGGCGGGGCGGCAGGGCCGGGGGCGGAGCGCGGGGCGGCCAGGAGGGGGCGCCGCGGGGGCGCCGCGGGCGGGGAGGGCCGCGGAGGACGCGGGCTGTGCGCGGGGAGCCGAGGTCGCGCCGGGGTCCCGCGCTGGGGGCCCTGGCCGAGGGGGAGGCGGGGCGGCGGCGGCGGGAGGGGCGGCGAGGGCGGGGCGGGCAGCGGTGCTGCGCCCGGGCTCCCTTTCCCCTCCGATCGCCCGCAACTCGGGGCTGAGAACTTCCCTCCGCCCGCGCCCCGCGCCCCGCGCCCCGCGCCCCGGGCCCCGGGCAGCCCCGGCTCCCGCACCTGGTGCCCCGCCCGCCCCCGCCCCGCCCCGGCCGCGCCGCCCCGGGTTACAAAGGAGGGAGATGAGCCGGGCGGCGGCGGCGCGGCGCGGAGCCTCCACGGCCGCGGCGATGGTGGCCGCCCCCGGCACCACGTAGGAGGCCCCCGCCCGCCCCGCGGAGCCCAGGCCCGAGCGGAGCCCGCGGTCGCTGCCCGAGCCCGCGCGTCGCCTCCCGGGCGGCGGCGGCGGCGGCGGAGGAGGAGGCGGAGGCGGAGGCGGAGGCGGAGGAGGCGGAGGAGGCGGAGGCGCCGCCTTCCCCGCCGCGCGCTCGCCGTTGTCTGCGCTCCGCTCTGGACCAGTTTGGGGAAGTTGCCGCGGTGGCCCCGCGTCGCCCAGATGTGCGACCTCATCGAGCCGCAGCCGGCCGAGAAGATCGGCAAGATGAAGAAGTTGCGGAGAACTTTGTCGGAGAGTTTCAGTCGCATCGGTGAGTGGCGCGCCGCCCGGATGGGTTCCTCCCGCCGCCCCGCGCCCGGGACACCGCCACCCCGCGCCTCTCCCGCCGCCGCGCCCCTGGCACCGCCGCCCCGCGCTCCGGGCACCGCCGCCCCGCGCTCCGGGCACCGGCCCTGCCGCGGCAGCCTGGCCGCGGGGGGTGCGCTGAGCCGTGCGCAGGCGATGCGGGGAACACCGTCCGGGACCCCGGGGAGGCTGGCGACACCCCCTTTCCTCCAGGATCTGGGGTTTCATTTGTGGATGATTTGAAGCCTACACATTGGGGTTTCCCAGTCCCCGCTGCTACCGATCGGGCTTTCGCGCCCGCGGGGGGACAGGCGGGGGGGACGCCGGGGGACCGGGCGGCCGCGCGGGTCCGTGGTCGCTTCGGGCGCGCAGGCGTGGGTACTGGGCGTTGAGTCAATAACCGAGCTTTGGGAACGGGTGGAACGTTGCGCTGTGCCCTGGCGTCGCTGAACGCAGCGAATGCGAAGGGAAGTGGGACAGGTACCTTGGGACCTTTTGTTCGGCACGCAGGTCCTCGAAAGCGAGACATTTGGGTGTCTCTGAATTTTTCCATCCCTGCAGGGGAATGCGCGCTGCGAACTTGTCAAGACGTTTAGGAATATCCCCGGAACTTCTTCCCCTGTATCAGAGCTCCAGGGCTGTTATTGTCTTTTAAACCAGCCAACCAACTAACCAACCATCAAGCCAACCCACTGACCGACAAATAAAAACCGGCCGAGAAATGTTCAGAGCGTTTAAGAACAAGTTCATGTGACAGATGTACCTGGGTGACAGCAGCATCACGTTGAATGGGTTTGCTAGATTTCTAGGATTGGCCATATAGAAAACCCCTTTAAACCCTAATACAGGGGCTGGGACCGAACATAACTTTCATTTACACAGCTAACTGCTTTCAGCAAGAATCTTGCTGGCACTGGAAACCCTCAGAACACTTCTAGCCTTTGTTTCACTTTTTGTTTTTTTTAACGTGTCACCCACGTTAATGAAGGTGTTAATAATGGGCTTTGAGCAAGAGGTCCTTCAAAGTAAAACCCTGGCGTGCACATGAGTATTGTAGTCATCCTTCTATCCATTCATTTAAAAAATTAGGATATAAGTGCATTGGAAAATAGGTGAACTTTCTTCCAGTGAAACAAAACATGAGTCAACATTTAGTGTTTTTTTTTTTTTTTTTTTTTTCTTTAAACTTACAATTTCACATTGGGATACCCAATCTTTCCCAAGATGCCTGTGAAGTTACGGTGTGAACCCAATGGTTAGTCCCGGTTTTATTTATTACGTGTATTGGCTGTTTGCAGTTTCACTTGTACAGTGAGGGATGCCTGTGAAGAGTCTGTACATTCAAATGAAGTTTGGAGGCAAGAGGAGGGAAGGGGACAGGGTGGTGTTGAGTGGGTGCTTTTTATTAGGTGGATGTGTCAGCCGCCCACCCCCACCGTCACAGAGGCGGTCTGCAGTCCATTAAGCCCCGGTCTGAAACACATTAACTGTATATTTACGAATGATAATGACTCTGCTGGAGCTCTTCCAGTTTTTTTTTGTTGTTGTTTGTTAAATAATTCATTGCAATTGAATCTCAGTAAGAAACCAAGGACATTAATATAAAAATTCCTTATGTTTAAATAATTTCAAGCTTTTGATCGACAATCAGTATCATTTAGATTAACCACAGTGCTGTCAAATGGGGCAGTACAGTTAATTGGATTTTCTAGCTTCCTGAGATTTAGTGATGTGAAACTCCCTTTGATTCTGGCTCTTGTTAAAATGTCTTCTAAGATCTGGTAGGTTTTTACTTCCTTTCGGAAATGGTACAGTGTAGTAAACATAACTGATTATTGTATTGATGGGAAGTCTTGATTTTGAACAGCCTGTTTCATTCTGGAATACTGTAAGAGAAGATAAAGAGATTTAAAGTGATTATGATTTAAAGCCCAAGACATTTCCTTGAAGTAGCATTACAGAAAAATGAACCTTTGTTATCCATACGTTTTCTTGATGTTGTGTTTGCAAAATCAAAAATCAATGAAAGTGCCGGGACCGGTTTGGCTCAATGGATAGAGCATCGGCTTGGGGACTGAAGGGCCCCGGGTTCGATTCCAGTCGGGGGCATGTACCTTGGTTGCGGGCATATCCTCAGTAAGGGGTGTGCAAGAGGCAACTGATCAATGACTCTCTCTCATTGATGTTTCGAACTCTCTATCTCTCTCCCTTCCACTCTATACAAAAATCAATAAAATATATTTTAAAAAAAAAATCAATGAAAGCAATCTGATTAGTTAAGGGTTTTTAAGGTGCTGGAGGCTGTCAGGTTTCACGGTGGAATTACGTGGTACACAGGTAAAGGGTGTTGTGGGCTGTGTGTCTCCCAGACTGGGGATTTCTGGCGTTGCCACTTGTCGCTGAATGACCTTGGACGGGTCACTCAACTTTTTTTTGTGTACAAATCAATTTTGTTATAGGCATTAGTGGAATAATACATATGAGGTCCTGTGTGCTCTGTAATACTCAATAGATGCTCACAATATGTTGTTATCATTGTGATGGCATCTTACTGACATAATTGATTTTCTGGTGGAGAGCAAGAGAAATAAGGGAAGAAGTGGCCCCTGACTTTACAGTAGAGCTAGCCTGAAAGCAAGGGAGGTTTTGGAGTTGGACTCAAATATCAGAGTATTAACTTCCTTTCTTCTAGGCCAGTGGTCGGCAAACTCATTAGCCAACAGAGCCAAATATCAACAGTACAACGGTTGAAATTTCCTTTGAGAGCCAAATTATTAAAAATTAAACTCTTCTAATGCCACTTCTTCAAAATAGACGCGCCCACGCTTTGGTACTTTGTGGAAAGAGCCCCATGTGGCTTGTGAGCCACAGTTTGCCGACCACTGCTCTAGGAGAAAATCCAAATAAGGGTGAAGAAATGCATTCAAATGAATATGAAGAAATGTCATTTCTTTGAAAGTAGGTGATTTCAATAGTATTTGTGGTTTTCTGCTAAATAGTGTCAGTGTATTGGTTTACTTAGGAATTACAAATAGTTGTCGCATGTTTTTTTTCTTTTAAATTTAGGTTAGTATAAACAAAGACAAATGAGAATTTGTTAATTAATTAATTGCTTATGGGTTTAATTACTTAGTTAAAAGGGGTTTTGAACCCCCCCCCCCTTTTTTTTTCCTGCTTGTTGTATACCTTGGGCAACTAGCAGAATTCCTCCAAATCTCATAGTACTCATTTGTCAATTTTCTTAAGGTTGTTGTGAAGATTAAATTAGATAAAGTACATAAAATATCTAGTGCAATATGTGTCACATGATGGAGATCATTCCTGGAGGCTTCTATTCCTCAATTACTTTGTTTGTCTTCTATCTTTCTCCTTTCTTCATTGGAACTTCATGAGGAGATCAAAGAATACGTGTTTATTCCTGTTAAAAAATCCAATATCACAGCATAGTTATTCAGTTTAACCAATCTGTGATGGCTTTTGAAATAAACAAACTGATTTTATTTTGCTTTTTTTTAGTATGATTGAAAAGTGTAGCTTGTTGTGTGATAAAATATGCAGTATTATTGTTTAGCCATAGAAAGTAGTAATCATTCAGCTACAGAAAATGAGGGTGATTTTTGAAAGTAGGTGATATCTAATCAATGTTTATTAATAATAATTCTGATTACCTGAAAGTGGCAGTGCTAATGTGTAATTTATTCCTACAAGAAAGATCATGCCAACTTTGTCATTGCCCATCTTGAATACAGCTGATTTGAGATTACTGCATTGTAGAAGGTCTAATAAAACACATTGGCTTTCAAGCCATGGCACTCTAATTTACGACATCTGCCAGGGAGTGACTGTTATACAGCTATGGTTCTTTTATAATATGGGTGTAATTGAATTTCAAAGTCATCCATTGATTTCATTAGTATTTATGGTTTACTGCTAAATAGTGTCTGTGTATTGATTTATTTAAGAATTACTATACTAGTAGTTGTCTCATGTGTTTTTTAAAAAAATTTAGGCTAGCATAAACAAAGACAAGTGGGAATTTGTTAAATTTTTAGAAAGTTTATATGAAAATTTATTTATTTATTTTGTTTATTTATTTATTTTGCTAGTGGTTATTGTGTTTGTTTTGTGTGTGTGTTTTTTTTAAAAATTCTTTCAAGTATTGCATATGTCTCCTTTTCCCCCCACTGGTCCCCTCCAATTCCACCCCCTAGGCTAGCCCCACTGCCCCAGTGTCTGTGTCCATTGGTCATGCCAGTATGCATGTAGAACAGTGCTTTGGTTTATTTGTTTATTTTTGAATGTTAGCCTAGGAGGAGAAAGCCGTCCTGTGATATCTGGTGTAAGAGTAAGGTCAAAGTGACATTTCATCAAATTCATTTGAATGCATTTCTTCACCCTTATTTGGATTTTTCTCCTAGAGAAAGGAAGTTAATACTCTTTGATATTTGAGATGAAACCCATATATTCCCTTTCTTTAGAAGATTTTTTTTTGGGAGATCTGAGTAAAAGGAAGAGTCTGTGGTTACACTGAATTTTTGGTTTGTTACCTTGTGCTATGAGTGTGTAACTCTAGAACCCAGTTGTCATTTGCTAAGTCCATTCTGTCAGAAAAGAGAAATGTAAGAGAAATATAAGAAAGGGTGAGACAAAATTTTGCTGTTGTCCCTCTCTCAATGCAGTTTCAAAAGATTTTAATTTGAAAAATATGAAATGAATTCATATCAAGGATCCTTTCATAAGAGAGCAGTGTATGGTTTTCATATGCCAAAACTCTAATGTAAGGTGTTGTCTTTTTGCCATTGAGATATATAACTCATTAATTCAACAACTAATTAATCATTGAGTACATGCTATGTTTTAGATATTGGGCTGGCATCGATACTGGTCCTTGTCCTCACGACTTCAAGAGAAGACAGGCCAAGGAATGAGCATAGACTATGTATATATTGAAAAATTCTACCCTGAAGATTGGCATAATTTGCTGTCGGAGAACTTAGGATGGGTATCTCTTTAGTCTTAGTGAGATCAGGGAATTCCTTTTTAGAGGAAGCAATGTCTGAGCAAAAGAATGAATAGAAATCTGATTATCTTAAATGACTTAATACATGCTTCGCTGTTAACCCAGAAACATATAATATGCTTATTATTCCACCATATCTATGAAGACAATTGTGGGCTTACAATTATGTGAATGATTAATGACAGTCAAGGAATGTAATCAATAATGAGATGTTGTGTGCTTGTTGGGTGACTGATAAATATTTGGAAATGACACCTTTAATCGGACTTCGTTATTACAACTGTTCTTCAGGGCAAGATTTCAGTGTAAGGTGTCTAGCAATAGAGGGTTTCAGTGAAGCCATAGATTTCTTGGTTCTCCCCTGTAGGATCCAGGACTCAAGAATAGTGTGTAGGGGAGAGAATCTGTCTCCCTGCTCTTATATTTTAGCAAATACACCCGCAGTTTTAATCTTTATCCAGAATGTTGGAGGAATTGGCAGGATTTGTGGTGGGGGCAAGAAGGAAATAGTCCACTCTGGGTATTGAAGAATTCTGTTTTTCTGCTTTCTTCATCTCTCAACTCGAGGGTCTTCATTCCATATTTGCAATTCTCTAAGGGATAGTATCAATTCTAATTATTTTTAAAAAATATATTGTTATTAATTTTTAGATAGAGAAACATCGATGAGAGAGAAATATCATTCATTAGCTGCTCACCTTCTACTGAGGATGAAGCCTGCAATGCCGGCATGTGCCCTGACCAGGAATTGAACTCGTGACCTCTTGGTTCATGGGTCAACACTCAACCATTTAGCCACACCAGCTGGGCTCAACTCTAGTTCTTATTGGATGCTTTGCTTAAGAAAAACCATGGCTAAAGTTCCAGAATTTTTATCATGTCTAAAACAAATACATTTAGAAGTTTGTACTGTGAATTATAAGCTTGCTGTTGTTTGTATCTTGTATGGCAGGCTCAAAATGATTTCCATTAATCTTTGTTAAATGTGCTAGGTATGAGGCTGGCCAATAGTTGACTGCATATTTGAAATCAATGAGCTAATCATTTCTATTTCAAATATTGTGTGTGTGTGTTTAATATATTTTATTGATTTTTTACAGAGAGGAAGGGAGAGGGATAGAAAGTTAGAAACATCGATGAGAGAGTAACATCAATCAGCTGCCTCCTGCACACTCCCTACTGGGTGAGTTCCTGCAACCAAGGTACATGCCCTTGACCGGAATCGAACCCAGGACCTTGAATCCGCAAGCCAAAGTTCTATCCACTGAGCCAAACCGATTTTGGCTGTGTGTGTGTGTTTTAAGAAGGAACCATTTGTCTCTACTTAATTTATGTAGGTCACTAATATTTTATAACATAATCACTAGTCATGTATGTTAATTAAAGGACATGTTTTGGGTTGAGGGAATGAGGGTATAGACTAGTAACATTGTTGACTAGTATTTAAAGAAAACCTTCTAGATGAGAAGTTTTTCATTCTAAGTTAAAATCTAACCAATCAGCCCTAACCCTAGCTATCAGGAACACCTAGGATCTTGTGTATGTATTTCTATCAAAAGAGATTATTTGAGATAGATTATTAATGTAAATTTAATAAAATACATAATAAAACATGTGTAATTGAATGTGAGAGAAACCATTTGAGACTGGGACAATAGGTCGTCCTTTTAATTTTTCCATTCAGAAGAAATAGTTCTAAATTAAAGGAAGTAGAGGAATCTAGTCCAGATCAGTTTCTTAGGCAGAAGGGGAAGGCTAAGAATTACACTTTCAGAAACATTTTATCTCCCTCAACCTGTCCTCATCCCCCTTAAGGCACCACCATAACCACATACATACTGATGCTTTAAAGAGACAAATTTTTACTATGAAACAGAAAAAAGAATTTTTTTTTAGGATTGCTAGCCTATACCATGTAAGCTTTGATATGATAACTTCGGCTGAGGCCCATGACATCTCTCGAAGCTAGTATCTAAGGGATAGTAACTAGTCAACCAAGTTACGTGCCCTTGACCGGAATCGAACCTGGGACCTTTCAGTCTGCAGGCTGACACTCTATCCACTGAGCCAAACCGGTTTTGGCTCGGGTGGTTTCATTTAAAATAGCTACTTTCTGCACTATCTTAATATGAAGCATTCTAAGTAATTGTAGGATTACAATGTAAGGAACGAGGTGTTTGCTAACTATGCATGAAGTACTTCTCTTTTTCTGTTCTGAGGCCGTACAGATTTAAAACACATTTCAGCTGAGATCGGTTTGGCTCAATGGATAGAGCATCGGCTTGGGGACTGAAGGGTTCCGGGTTCAATTCTGGTCAAGGGCATGTACCTTGGTTACGGGCATATCCCCAGTATGGGGTGTGCAAGAGGCAGCTGATCGATGACTCTCTCTGATCGATGTTTCTAGCTCTCTCTCTTCCTCTCTGTACAAAATCAATAAAATATATTAAAAAGAAAAAATAAAACACATTTCAAGTATTCACTGGTTCCTATAGCACATTCTGAATGTATTGTTTCCTTTGTTGGTATTTTGTTGTACAGTTTCTCATGCTGGAAAGTTTGAATTATGGGGCTGCAGTGCCTGGTTTTGTACGTGCCTGGTCTTTCATCACCGTGCTTACATTTCCCTCCGCGTGAGAATCCCATCCAGGGCCCTGGGAAAGGCGGGGTCACCCTCAGGGCTGGTCTGGGAGGTCCATAGACCACGCGTGAGGATGTAGGCTCAACACCCAGACATTTAAGGGGAAATTTCTTTCATCTTACTTTTTTATTTATTTATTTTCATTTAAACGTTTTCCTGCAGCAGAAGAGGAAGGGGAAGGATATGCATACTTCTTTCCCTTACTTGGGAAGACAGTCTCATTTGCATATGTATGAGAGTGTTTCCCAAAGATGCATGCTGTGCAATTCTCTCTCCCATTTGCAGTTTTCATCGTTGTGTGGAAACATTGTTATTCAGGTTGGGGTACAGTTTTACTTTCTGAAATGAAAACACCATACTGCTTTGGTATTTTTTTTTTTTTTTCTTTCTGTTTTCTAGAACTTCCTTTTTGAGATGTTTCACAATAACTGTTTCCTTTTTTTTATTTTATAGCTTTGAAGAAAGACGACACCACCTTTGACGAGGTAGGTTACATTTCTTTATCTAATGTTAGATGTATTTACTGCCAAGTAAAGTCGATAGGTGCCAACTTCACACTTAGACGCAGGGGGAAAATAAAAGGCCTTCAGAAAATCCACAAGAGGTGCTATCTCTTTAGTCACACTCTATTGTTTGTCAATTTTAAATCAGGCCAATGAGTGAACAAAAATATGTCTTTTTAAATGAACAAACCGAACACACCCATGCGAGACCCCGCAGGCCTTGAGGGCACTGTCTTGCTGGCAGCAGGGCTGACCCAGTGCGGTGTGCTGTGCGTGCCCAGGGCCAGCGTGGAGCCCAGGGAGGCTGGGCACTGCTGTGCCCTTGAACACCTCCTCTGGGTCAGGGTGCGATGCCGCCTTCTGTGGATCAGGGTGCGATGGCCTCCTGTGGATCAGGGTCCATGCCACCTCCTGTGGATCAGGGTGCCATGCCCTGTTGACGCCACGCATTGTCTGCCAGACTCCCAGAGGACCTGACTTTTCCCGTTCTAGTTTTCCTGTGCTTTGTGTATCAGATCCGTCTTTCTCTACCTGCCGCACAGGAGCAGGGGAAAATAAAAAAAGCCTGGTCCAGTAAGGCAGAGGTAATGAATAGCATTCTGAACGTGATTTTTCAAGTGTGCTCTTTCCCGAGTTTTCCCTGTGTCAGTGGGGATTGCCCGAGGAGTGATGTGTTTTCAAAACGTTCTCACGAGTGCTATAAAGGGGTGTTTCGTCGTAGCCATCCGAAGCCACGGTAATTGATCTGTGTTGTAAACCGGGCCACGTGTGGATACGAATATACATACTACATGTTTATCCATGAACCCAGAGGTGTCCATATGACGGGCTTATCCTGAAGGCTAACGGAAGCCTAGATTTGTGTGGCGGGGGTCCCCGTGCGGGTTCCATGAAGATCTGCCTGTCACCCTCGGCTGTATGCTTCCGAGAGGAGAGGACATGGGTGAGCCTGGCAAGGCCTCTCGGCCCCCGGCCGGCTGCGGCGCAGGGCAGGACTGCTTAGGGAACCTGCTCCAGGCCGGGATTTCTGGATGAGGCTGGCGGCACTTGGCTCTCACGGTCGGCTGCTTCGGCTGCTGCACCTGCTCCTGTTCCCGGGCCCAGCTCTGCAAAGCTGTGTCCCTGGGTTCCAAAGCCACTTCCCCTGCCAGCCTTTCTGAGACATCCTATAAACTTAGTTACTGTAGACCCCGTCTGCTATGGTAATTACGATGTTCTCGAACCCCGTATTTCTGGGATTCCAGCAGGGTTACTGAGATGTTTGTGGGAGGGCATTTTCTTCCTTCTCAGAAGAAATCAGTGTGAGAATATTGGGCACCTTTTCTCTCTCTATCAAGAAGAGCCTCCCCTGTAATTAGGGAGGTAATGTGAGCTCTCATAAAAAAGAAAAAGAAGGAAAAGGAGCACGCAGAGTCTCCCAGATCCTATTAGCCAGTTACAACCACCGCTGCAAGTTCTCCTTGCTCCTTTCCTCGTGTTAAAAGACAAGCGGAAAACCACAGTCCACATATTTCATAGCCGGCTCTCTTCCTTCTCACCTGGAGGACCACACATGCTACTTCCCTATGTTTTTACACATAACTACTAATCATCCTGAGCCATGCAAAACACTCTTGTTTAAATGCTATTGTTAATGATTGCATGCTATGTCACAGCCACGTGGCTTTCAAAAAAGCCGAGGCTGGAGCCTTGATGAAAGTTAAGGATGTATATACCACCCTCCATTACCCCCAAATCTCTGCATAAAGTCGGGATTTTGTAATTTGGGGACAATTATCCTTAGCTTTTACAAAGCGTTTTCCTTCCTTGGTGCCACACAAAATTGGTTAAATAACTCCGACCGGTAGACCTCAGAATGCTACCCCTGGAAGAGACATTGGAGGGTACTGGCCCACATCATCATTTCACAGATGGGGTAACTGAGGTCTGGAGGTGCCTGGGAGTTTCCAGTTAAGCAGGGGAAGACTCAGGTCAGCAGCCTGGGAAGAGCAGCAGTGAAGGCTGCCTGGGTAAAAGGAAACCCTAACTTAGCCACCTTCTCAAGAGCAACTGATTGACCTCTTCCAAGCCTTTTACAAAATTGTGAGGATTAACTCAGCGAAGGATCAAGGTTCCAGAACAGTGATGGGCACAGAGGAAATGTCTCAGTATTGGTATTATCGTTGTCCTTGTCTTTCTCCTCCTCCTCCTTCTCTTTCTCCTCCTCCTCCTCCCCGATGCTCTCACCATGACATCCACCTTCTGTAGTTGGTGTTGGGAAGCAGGCTACAAGGTTGATTTAGTTCAAAATTAAGAATTAGAGCTATGAGGAGAGTTATTTCAGATATTCCACTAGAACTCTTATCTATTCTTTTGTATGATGATTTACATATTAATTAAAACTGAAATGATCCTCTGAAACCTACTACATTGCAGGTCATTCCAGGTCATTCCGAGGATGACTGCATTCAGCTTTGTGATCCCTTGGGTGTCTTGCACATGGTTAACAGCCAATAACTACCTATTGAAAAAGAGTCAATAACTTGCCAATAAGGAGAGCAAGTGTTGAACTGAGTGTCAGAGGATGTGAGTTGTCATTTGCCAGTTGCTACCTCGCGGGCAAGTCATTTGATTTACCCAGGGCTCACTTTCTCATTTGTAAAGCCAATTAGACCACCATCTTCAGGTTGCTTTCTTATGTTTAAAAGTATGATAGAATTTTACGTAGCAATCAACATAAAGTTACAATTTTACCAAGATCAGAAAAGAGCCCAAATCTGTGACTATGTAAACAGGAAGTCAGTGACTTCTAAGGTCCTCTTCAGATTATAGCGATAGAAGTTTTCTTGAACTTGTTTTGTGGTCTTACCATTGGAATTTTAAAACCTGGAGCTGGATCCGCATCTGAGAGAGGCATCGGGATGTGGCAGCTTTTCTCTCTCTCTCTCTCTCAGTATTTCTGAGCTGGAGCTCCGTGGCTCTGTGGCCTCCTACAGAACGCCTGGAGATGGAGTCTAGTTGCTACTCCTTGGTTTACAGAGAGGATTTTTCTAGGGTGTGTGTCTATGTTTGACTTTGAATGGGAAAGAAAAAAAAATATGGACCTATTTGAAAAATATGTTTATTTACTTGTTCTTAATTAGACTGCAATAGCCTGACTGGAATTTATTAATTTTCATAACCAGCCTGGAATTTATTCAGTAAATGCTTGCTGTAGAGAGAAAATGAGAGGGGACTTTGGAAGTTAAGTATTGAGGGCCTCAGATAGTTACATTGGTAGGTAGTTTTATTGGAAAAGGGGGTTTTGTTGAAGCCATCATATTTGGAGAGAGGATGTTCTAAGGATGATTGTTTTGCTCTGAATTCATTGTGCATTTGTGTCCCAATTAAAACATGAAGCATTTTATGTTCTGTGGGATTAATCTGCACATTTAATGTGGACAGACTAATCATCTTACCTAATAAAAGAGTAATATACAAATTAACCACCACTCCACTATACCCACAAGCCATTCCCACTAGCCAATCAGAATTGAGTATGCAAATTAACCCAACCGAGATGGCTGTGGCCATGGAGAAAGCAGAAGGCTTGGGTTTCCCTGGCAATGGAGGAAGCCAGGCTTTCCACACACCCTGGTTGGCCCAGGCCTCCACTCAAGGCTACAAAGTTTCAATTATATTATAGAAGATAAATAAATTCCAACAAAAATGGCAGCAGCCACAGAGCTGGAGAGAGCAGGAGTCTTGAGTTGTCCTGGGTGATGGAGGAAGCCAAGGTTCTGCAGCCCTGGCCTGCTTTGGCCTCTGCTCAAGACTACAAAGTTTCAATTATAGAAGATAAATAAATCCAACAAAAATGGCTGCGGCCACAGAAAAAGCAGGAGGCTTGGCTCTGCTCAAGGCTACAAAGTTTCAATTATAGAAAATAAATAAATCCCAGATACCAGGGCCTCTGCTTGGGTCGCTGGGGGGCTTGGCTGGCCTGCAAATCACCACACAATCCTTGCCCGGACTATCCCATGCCTCAAAGGAACCCCTACCCTGATCTCAGACATCCTTCAGGGCAAACCAGCTGGCCCCCACCTGTGCACCAAGCCTCTATCCTATCTAATAAAAGAGTAATATGCAGATTGACCATTACTCCAATACACAAGATGGCTGCCCCCATGTGGACAAAGATCCTGCCACTATGTGGACACAAGATGGCCACCACAAGATGGCCTGCAGGGGAGGGCAGTTGGGAGGCATCAGGCTTGCAAGGGAGGGCAGTTGGGGGTGATCAAGCTGCAGGGGAGGGCAATTAGGGGTGACCAGGCCAGCAGAGGAGGACAGTTGGGTGTGACCAGGCCTGCAGGGGAGGGCAGTTAGGGGCAAATAGGCTGGCAGGGGAGTGGTTAGGGGGCAATTAGGCTGGCAAGCAGAAGCGGTTAGGGGCAATCAGGAAGGCAGAAAGGCGAGCAGTCCTGGATTGTGAGAGATCCCAGATTGGAGAAGGTACAGGCTGGGCTGAGGGACACCCCTCTTCCCATCCTGTGCAAGAATTTCATGCACCGGGCCTCTAGTTTATAAGGATATCCCAAATAAAATTTTATTGGGTTTAGTTTATTTTGTTGCTGTTTTTTTCTCCCCAACAAAACTCTCCCCCCCACCCCCCGCCAAGCTTTTTGATTTTTGGATCCTTAGGGTTTGACCCAGTACGTGGCCAAAATGAAGGGGCCAAATAAATAATTGTTAGAGAAACAAATGGTTAAGCCCTATTGACGGATGAAAGAACATTGCTATTTGTGTCATAGTTTCTAGTGGACACAGTGTTTTTGGTGACATTGTGGTGAGAGCTAGGAAGTGTCAAGTTCATAACTGCGATACTATTACTGAACTTTCTAAGTTTCTTTCTCGCCGTTGATCCCCAATAAATGGCATGGCATGTCCTCTGAGTGGATCCATTCTTCCTGGGGCAGTGAACAATACCTATACTATGGCTTCTGGTAAATTTTTTATCTTAT